CTCCGCCTTGAGAGCGCAGCCTGGCGACAATACACCTGTGGGAGCTAAAACACCAATTAAGCTCTGAGACAACTAGGCTGTTTAGAGAAAAGCCCCCTCCAGGCTACATAACTCTGATAACAGTGCCACGAGGCACCAGGTAGCCCTTCTCCCCAGGCATACAAAAGGTATAAAAACAAATCCTTTGCTCTACCTAGCGGGCATTTCAATTTCAGATGCCCCCTCTTACTTTGAGAGTTGTAACTCTTTCTGCTCTAATAAACTATCCTCTGCTGCAAACTTTACCTCTCTGGTCTATGTCTCCATTCTTCGATGCTGTGAGACCATGATCTCAGCACACACACACACACACACACACACACACACACACATCAAAAGCCCTGCTTCAGAAGTCCTCCTTTGGGGACCTATGCACCTATGCCAGCGCTTAGTTCACCCTTCAAAGCAATTTTGGAACTCTTTTTCTGGAATGGCCATCAGAGTATTAATCTCGATGTCCTGAATGTCATCAAAATGTCTTCTTTTCGAGATTTCCTTTATCTTCGGGTAATGAAAGAAGTCACTGGGGATCAGATCAGGTAAGTATGGAGGGTGTTCCAATCCAATTATTTGTTTACTGGCTAAAAACTTCCTCACAGATAGAGCCCTGTGACTGATGCATTGGTGTGATACAAGAGTCATGAATTGTTGGCGAAAAGTTCAAGTTGTCTAACTTTTGTATGTGGCCTTTTCAGCACTTCCAAATAGTAAACTTGGTTAACTGTCCAGTTGGTACAAATTCATAATGAATAACCCCTCTGACATCATAAAAGGTTAGCAACATCGTTGCAAAAAATTTGTGAACTTAATTGTCAGACCTCATATGTGATACATATAACATATATGAATATATAATATATTTATATATAACATTTGCTTTATTTATTTATCCATAGCTGGACACTTAGGTTGTCTCCATATTATGGCTATCATGACTAGTGCTGCAATGAACATGAGAGTACAGATATCTCTTCAAGCTGGTTATTTTATTTCCTTTGGTTATATACTGAGAAGTGGAATTGTTGGATCATATAGCACTTCTGTATGCACTATAAACATAGTGAAGATATATATATATATATATATATATATATATATGTATATATATGTATATATATATGTATATTAGTAGATCTAAAATATATAGTATACTGTTTTCCATATGGCTGTACCAATTTACATTCCCACTAACAGTGTATAAGGGTTCCCTTTTCTCCACGTCCTTGACAACAATTTATTTGTTGTCTAGATGTTACTTGGTTTCTAATCTTTCCCAGCTCTGATCCATTTTGAAAATATTTCATAAGGTAACATTCTTAAAGTACAACCAATCACTATATTTTTTAAAACAAACATACAGAAAACAAACAAATAAAACAAGCTAGTCCTCCCTGCCTATGGTTTAGATACTTTAGCCTGATTGTTGGTTTTCGCCAAGGAAATGTTAAAAGTTTATTGTAGGAAAATAAAACGTATAAATTGGCAAAAGGAAAATGATCCATAATCCCAGCATTGGAAATGATCACTATAGATATTTTGGCATAAATATTGCCAGGCGTGCACTCGTAAACTGAATTTAGTTGAATGTTCCACTCACTATTTTAGGCACTAGGAATATAGTTGGAAACAAAATAAAAAATTCCTACCCTCAAGGATCTTACTTTCTAGTGGTGGAAAGGATGGCAAGGCAGATAATAAACATAATTAATAAATAAATTAGATAATATATTAAAAGATCATAGGAAGAAATATAAAACTGGGTAAGGAAATGGGGCTAGGATTAGGACTGGGCATGGGATTAGATTGGGAGTTAAATTTTGGATAAGATTTAGTTGCACATTTAAAACTGTAGCAAAAACAAATTTTGGCCAAATAAAATAGGTCAAGTGTTATTTGATTTTGAACTAAAGCCAGATATCAACATCACAGAGTAAAGCTCTGAGATAAATTAAAAATCCAAGAATTTTACCCAGATGTATTATTGAATTTTCATATTAAAAATTGTTTTATATAATTTTTCAAAGTTTGACATTACAATATAGGTAGGATAAATAATTTTTCAGCACTGACTACTAATGCTGGCACTGCGATACACATTTGTTTTATTAATAAGACATTTACTTTCAGCTGAAGCCTTTGGAAGGGTAAGGTTTTTCTTTTAGGTACTCTCCTCTTTCTCTAACATTCCTTTCTTCGAAATGTTGGGGTCACTGTTTGTTAACAAAAACTGAGACAAAAGGTTTTTCATTCCAAAGGCTTTATTTACCAAGCCTGGTGTCCGTCTCACTCAAGAGAGAAATGGCACCAAGTCCTGGCGGGTGGGGAATTTATAGCTGAAGCTGAATACAGAAGCGGAAAAAAAGTGGTTAGTGAGTAAAAGGAGAAAAATTTGTTTTAACAAACAAAGTTAACTTATCTTCTAGCTAGCCATAAAACTTGGCGAGTTTATTTTCTCCTAACGAGCTATAAATCAGGACTTGTTTATCTTTTCCTAACAACACTCTTTATATTCATTTTTTATGTCGGTATCAGAGGTGATTTTTTTTATGAATGTTATTGATTCACCATTTTGGAAGTTTTCGCTCCTTGTAAAATTTTGAGATCTCAAAGTTGGTATTCTACTCTTAATTCTTCCTCACAAAATGAAGAGATTCCCAAATCGAGCCTTTGCTTGAAAGACTCATGGCCTAAATACATTTAATAATTAATTATAGTACTTAAAATGTATTTTGTTTAATGTTATGATTGCTAGCACAGCAAACAAATCAACAGAGATTAGAATTATATTTACAACGAAATCATTTGGGGTTGGATATAAAGTGGTGAATAGACTGACATGGTAGAGTCAGACAGTACAAAGGAAGATAATTGGAAAGAGAGGAAGGGTCACAACATTCAATAATTCCTTTGCAAATGTTCTTATCAAAAAAAGTGACTAACATGAGCTTCCATCCAGCTGAATCACAGAACCATAGAAAGCTACAAGTGGAGCTGGAAGAGACTCTTGAAAGATGATCAGCCTGTCAAATTTTGCTCACACACATAGGAAATCAATAGATATGTTCATTTGGGCAGCAATACTAGAAGTGATAATAGTAAATATGCCTTAAGTACTATTTAACTCACATGAATTGCTTTACATGTGTTATCCCTTTAAATCTTTACATTATGAAACACTATGAAAACATAGGCTTACCCCATTTTACAGATGATACAACTGAGGCTTAAGAGAGGTTAATCATTTTGTTTCAAGTTTCACAACTAGTAAGTGGCAGAGTACTGCTGTTTGAATCCAGGCAGTTTAACTGCACAGCAGCCTTAAACATTAAATAACATCTTGCTACTGGGAATGACATTTTCCTTGATGCTTGTCTTCTTAAAGGAAAGAATTCAGTCAAAAGACTGAGTTTGTGCAGCACAGGACAACAAAAAGTTTATTAGTAAAAGCGAATACACTCTGAGATACGGAGTGGGCTGACCCAAGAGAGGGAAGCAGTCTCTTCTTACATTGTGTGAAGGTTTTTATCTCTATGTGTAGAATTGTTTCCCCCCCTCTCCTTGTTGTTATCTTTCTCTTTCTTTGCTGCATGTCAGGTCCTCCCTTCTGATTCTCAAGGTTGTTTCTCAGGGCGTAAGTGTGAACTTGTTAATTTCCCACGATTTATTAAGACAGGTTAGTTAGCATAACGTCAGGCAGTCAGGAATTCCCTGGTAGACTGAACAAAGATAAAACACTAGCCATTTCTTACATGAGCCATTTCTTTCAAAATTATAAGGTAACTCCCTCATACTGGAACATCAATCATGCCCCAGAGCAACAAAGCCATTTTGAAGGACATTATTAAAGGCCTTCCCAAGACTGAGCAACAGAACAAATCTGAAAAACACCTTAATAACTGGCTCTAGCATTTCAGCATTCCCCCTTCCAGGCAGAAAAAAAGTATAAAACACAAGCCTTTTACCCTAGCTAGTGGGCATCCCACTTCTGGGTACCCTCTCCGGCTCTGGAGCTGTAACCTTTTTCTTGCTTTAATAAAACTATCCTCTGCTACAAACTCTACCTCTCTGGTCCGTGTCTCCATTCTTCAGATTCACGAGACCACGGCTCCAGCACAAGAAATATCCCACATCATTATTTGAGCTCATTAAAAGTGGTCCTGAGAAGCAGGATGTATATACGTATGTATTCTGATAAGGGGGATGGCTTCTCTCCCTCTCTAGCATTTTTCCTTCTCCTAAGGACATATCTTGTTCTCAATGTCTGACTACTTTGTGCCCCAAGTGAGCCCAGCCTGTAAGGGGCCTTGACCCAAGTGGGAGCAGCTGCCAGGGGCCTCCTCAGGGGCTAGTTGCCTCCTCCTGCTCATTTCTACCTACCCTCCCAATATTTCAGATGTGTATGTCTACGCACAAAAAGCAGAGGAAATATGTAAAAACAAAAACAAAAACAAAAACAAAAAACGAGTTGCTCGAGGTGATGGAATTTGAAACATTCGCTTTTTTCTCAAAACATTTTTTTGCTACAGTTTTTTTATACACCATCTATTCAAGTACAAAATACAAATGTTGATGATCAAAACTACTCCATTTGCTTCCATTATCTCTGTTCTTTTGCAGTCTTCCCGGAGTCCTCACTCACTTCTAGGCTTCAGCTAATGCTGTCATCCCCAACGTCGATCTCTCACGATTTTTCCTTCTAAGCAGGGATACCCTGTCCTCTGTGTCCTCCAAGTTCTCTTGGCCACCCAGCCTCCCACCCTAGTTCTCTGGAGTTTTTTTTTTCTAACTGCATTTGCTTCCTTTCCCGCTGGGAAACTTCACATTCCAGAGACTTGGCACGAAACGCTTGGAGTTCGGGAACGGGCGAGGAAGGGTGTCTCAAGTGTTTACTAGGCCTCCCACACTCTCCCCGGGCCCTGCCCCCAGCTCCAAAACGCTTCCTGGAAATGTCCTCCTTATCACTTCCCCTCAGGGGCTGGGGGCTGGGAGCGGGCGGTCCCCTCCGCCCCCGGCGGCCGCTGTTGCCCGGCGCGCGCGCTCGCTGGTGACTCCGGGCTGCAGTCCTGAGAGAGCGGTGCCTGGGCTCACAGCTCCGCCGCGCAGAGCGCTCGAGTCCCCGCCGCGACGTGCCACTGTTCCCGCCCCGCGCCTTTGCCGGCCAGGCCATGAGGGTCCTGGGTGGGCGCTGCAGGGCGCTGCTGGCGTGCCTCGCCCTAGTGGTTCCCGTCGCAGAGGCAAACTGTGAGTAATCCGTAGCGTCTTGTCTTCTTTCCCCAGCCAATGCCAGCTGAGCTACCAGCCTGGTTGGTAGGATTGTCTTTTCTGGGGCTGCAGCCTCCTAGAAAGTTTCGGGCACGTCCGGACAATCAGCGGGCTGATGGAAGCAGCCGTGGATCTAGCGGGCAGTGTAATGGTGGGGCAGGGGCAGTATGTGCCCTGTCTAGGGATCATGTGTTGCCTACAGGACAGAATCAAGAACCTGGGTAACACTAAACATCAGTGAAGGAATTAGATCACCTATCCCTTTGCCCCCAACAGCTGAACTTCGCAGTTAGAAGACAGGGATGAGCAATTCCAGTACCATAGTAGGGAGGAAAAGGCAACCCGCGATTCCTTCCCTTTGTACAGACGCCTGTCCCAACCAGCAACCCCTGCTGCAGCCTACCTCCCTTTTGCAATTTCTGAACTTTGAGCTTGGTTTACTTAGCTCAGCATTGACTAACGAATTGTTTTAGGGTGATTACAGATTTTCCTACCAGTTAAGCCGTTGCCATTTTCTGACCTTGAAATCAAAAGGACTGTTAAATATTGTATTTACCAGATCATTTTGTAACTGAGGATTTTTGACACTGAGTGCCACCGATCTGAGCTTGTGGCATGAATTTTCTGTCTTTATCTTTGTATTTCCAGTTCTTTATGTTCCTACCCATGCTTGGATTCAAGAAAGGATATTGAGTTTTCTTTGGAAAATATTGGTAATATCAAGGCATTTAGAAGATTCTAGTGTCAGTTAATAAGTTTGTTTTCTAAAGCTTAAGCATGTTCATTGATTAAAAATGCTTACTTGTGCTATGTTTTATTCTCAGGAAATGGCATGAGAGAGATAAACTCTGAATTACAAGTAACTTTTAGGCTTTCTAAAGCTCCAATGTAAATTTTTCAAACAAGGTAATTTAAGGTGAATTAAATAGGAATTTACTAACGTTTCACTAGTTCCTATTAATTACTGATCAGGATGAATGAGGTATTTTAAAATTCTAATTTAGAGCCTAAAATATTATTTCTTGATTTTTATATTAAAGAGCTACAATAGCAGAACTTGAACATTCAAAATCCTATATTAAGCCTATATGTGGACCATATGCACTACATCATTATCAACATAGGCAATTAGGACAATCATGTATTTGCTTGTTAACCAGTGTTTTGGAGAGGAGAAAGAGGCAGGCAAAAGTGGCTTCCACACTTAGGCTTGTCATCACAGGAATTTGCTAGGCCCTTTCTTTTTATAGAGATTGTTACATTTTTTTTTTTTTAAATTTTTATTGGGGTATTGAGGGGGAAGGGAACAGTGCTGGGGAATTGGGGGAAGGGGAACAGACAAGTTGCTGTCGTTTTGTTCTTCAGTCTAGTTGTGGAGGACGTTGCTTCACTGGCCCAAGTTGGCACCATCATTGCGCTCTTCCCGGGCGAGGCAGATCAGTCGCCGGCTTCTGGACGGCCGCTCACTGCGGCTGCTGGCCGCTCATGCTGGCTGCTGGGTACACACGGTAGCCCATGGCAACCCACTGCCACAGGGGCTGCAGCCTATGCTATCGCCGGCGACTCATGGCAACCCAGCTCCACGTTGAGCTGTTGTTCAGCATCTTAGCTGTGGAGGGCAGTGTCACTGGCCCTCGTATGTGGGATCCGAACCGGGGCCCTCTGGCGTCCCAAGCCAGTTCTTAACCATCGCGCCACTCGGCCGGCCCGAGATTGTTACATTTTCATTGAATCTAGTCAGAGTTAAAAATTATGTGTGTGTGTATGCATATTACATTCAGGTATTCAAACCATATATGTGGAGGAATACACTTGTTATATATAGATACTCATAGAGCAGATAAATTAATTCTGTCAATGTATCATGTAAAAAGGCTCTATAATCTCTTCATAAAGTATGATAGTTTAATTGGACTGAAATAGTTTAATTGGGTTGAAAATCATCTTGGTTTACTGATGAGGAAACTGAGATATAGATGAAATGATTTTACTCCCTAAGATTTTAAATTTGAGGTATAATTAGAACTCTAAATATTTGATTTATAATTCATTGTTGAGAGAATTGTTATAATTCATTGTTCATAGAAGTATAGTTATTTGAAGAAAATTAAATCACAGTTTTAGTTTTGAGCTAGAAATCATCTACTTCAACTTCTTCATTTTAACAATAAAGAAATTGTTTGGAGATGTTAGCTGACTTTCCAGACATTACACATTACATATATATTACATATATATTTAAAAGATATACTGTCTGCATATTTTATGTCATTTCTCACTAAGGGACTAAGCGCTGTGGTGAAGAGAAGTAGGAGAAAGGGGATGTCCCTTTTGGCTCTGCTAATTTGGACCTATCTAGACTTCCACTTCTGGGTGGGTGCAGTCTATCCTAGACGTACTGACTTATATATTCCTTTTTTTACTCTTGTCTTTTCCTCTCTAACTATTCCTTTTACTGTTGATCTTTGTCTTTTCTTAAAGTCCCTTTATTTCAGAGTCTAAAATCTTATATTGATGGAGAGATTTTATCAAGGTCAGGTTCGAGTTAGGGTTGGTGCTGGAAGAGTTAGAGACAATCCCTGCTATACAACAACAACAACACCCTACGCCATATTCTCTTACCATTAATTCTATCCCAGGAAACACAGTAATGCTTTTCGTAACAGACCTTTTCTGTCCACTAAGTTTAATAGCCTCTTTATAACTAAATTACACACACACACACACACACACACACACACACACACACACACAGAGAGACACCCATATATTTGAACTTTCAAAATATTATGAGAAAAAATATAAGAAGTCTGATATACATAAATCAGTATTCTTTAGCTACAAGAGACAGAACTCTTGGTCACGAAGGAAGGAAGGAAGGAAGGAAAGAAGAAAGGTAGGAAGGAAGGAAAGGAAAAAGAAAGGAAGAAAGGCTGAAAGATGCTGAGTGGATTCATTGGAAGGCTACTGAACGGTATGCTGAATAACCAGGCTTAGGGAAGCCAGGGACTTGGGCGTTTAGGTGATCTATATAGTGGGAACTCATGTGCTCACTATCTTAGGAGCTGCCACCAGATGACTCAGTTCTAACTGCCTTCTAGTCGTGTATGTCTCTACTCATGATTGAAATTCCTAGAAAAGAGAGCCTGATCATTTTGGCTTAGCTGGTTTCTGGAGTCCCGTGACTGACAGCTCACTAGAATCAGGCAGCGTGCAGGACAGCTCCCACGTAGGAATGGATGCTGGGAAGGAAGCAGAAACAAGAGAAGTTCTACACATTCTAATTATTGTCTGGACAACATACACAGATTTCCTTCTTTCCACAGACACCATTTGAAAATATTTCAAATATGTGTAGATATGTCTAATATAATGTAAATAAGTAAAGTACAACAGAAACAGCACCAACCCTAACTCTAACCCCCTCAATAGGTTTTATCACCACACCCAGAGAGGAAGACTCAAGCCTACCATTTCCTAGTTTAGGTGATATCCATATCTCCTCTCATTCTGTCACAATCCCATGTTAATGTGCTATGCTTTAGGGATGAAATGATACATTGCAGTGTACCAACACATCATATATGCCAAATAATAATAATAATAATAGTGATAATAAAAAGACAAGCAAGGGAATACAGGTACTCACTTTAGGGCTTGCCTGTCTCTCTTGGTTATAAACTAGAGCTGTTTCTATGAAGAGCTTTGTCCTTATTACCTCAATTCATATCTGTGACAGTGCTGGGGTTTTGTTACCACAATGAGATGAACTACATATGCCCTTATTCAGGAAGAAACTGAGCCCCCTTCTTCTGACCTGTGGATGGTTGTATGCTTCTCTTTTACAATTTCAACTGTATACAATAGTTACTCTGGAGGAGTAATGCTCCTAACCCTGATTTTTATGTGACAACAACACGATTTTGCCTTGATTATTATCTGGTCTATTTTTAACCAGATTATTATTATTTTAGACCAGTATTATTAATTTTTATTTTTATTCTATTTTATTAATATTTATTCTATTATTTTAGGCCAGTATTATTATTTAGGCCAGTATAACCTCTCTTATTATTATTTTTAAAAACCAACAGTAAAGAACTTCAAATGGCTATAAAGCAGCCTCAGCTTCTGTTTCAGTGGGAAGTATATTAGGTCCCTTAGTGAATCTGTCCACCCCTGGTTTTCCAATTTCTAGATAAGCAGAACCTAGTTGTAAGGAAAGAAAGCTAAAGAATTGAGAATAGGTCTTTGAATTAGTTTCTTGGGGCTGCTGTAACAAAGTACTACAAACTGGGTGGCTTAAAGAATAGAATTTAGTCACTCACAATTCTGGAGGCTAGAAATCTGAGACCAAAGTGTCAGCAGGGAGAATCTGTTCCAGGCTTCTCTTCCACTTTCTGGTAGCCTAAGACATTCCTTGGCTTTTAGAGGCATTCTTCCTGTGTCTTCACATCATCTTTGCTCTGTACATGTCTGTCTCTCTTCCAAATTTCCCTTTATAAGGACACCAGTCATATTGGATTAGGACCCACCTTTATGACCTTGTCCTACCTTGATAATTTGCAAAGTTCCTATTTATAAAAAGGTCATATTCACCAGTACTGGGAGATTAGGACTTCACTCTCTTTATTATGTATGTATGTATGTATGTATGTGTTTATTTATTTTAAAGATTTTTATTGGGGAATTGGGGAAGGGGAACAGCCAAGTTGTTGTCCTTCAGTCTTAGTTGTGGAGGGTGCAGCTAGCTCAGCTCCAAGTCCAGTCGCCATCCGGCCGCCCATCGTCAGCTTGGGGCAGCTCAGCTCAAGGTGCCATGTTCAATCTTAGTTGCGGGTGTACGTAGCCCACCATCCCATGTAGCAGTCAAACCAGCAACCTTGTTGTTAGGAGATCTCACCAGCTGAGCCATTTTGCCACCTGTTGGCAGCTCAGCAGCAGTTCAGCTCGGGCACAGCTCACTGGCCTGTGTGGGA